ATTAGGTATAAATGTGGATGACATTTGTCTTTTGTGTAAGTCATTAGGAGGCTTATTTTTGCTAAAAGTGACTTAATTCAATTAGGTATTGGCATAAAAAGACTGAATTCAATTAGGCATAAATGTGGATGACATATGTCCTTTGTGCAATAATGCTCAAGAATCTGTATTGTATTTGTTTTTCTATTGCCATTTTACTAGGTTTGTTCTTTTTGATAGCCCTTGGAGTATGAGTCATTTCTCGGTATTCCTCTTTAGTAGACTTCATTTTAGAGATTGTTAATTCTTTGGCCTTTTCGTGTTCTTCTGATGATGTTTTGGAAAGGTAAACCATTGCTTGGTATTTTGTTTAAAAAGCTCGTAATGACTATATATTTAATAATGCCAATAGATCAACTACTTGAGTTTTGAATTCAATTAGCAGAATGCTGTTTTACCAAAAAAAAAAAAAAAAAAAAAGAATAGCAGAATGCTTAAGTTAAGGAGCAACTTGTCAAATGGTATAATTCAAGATTCTGATGGAAATTTTATTTCCTTAAAGATTAGTTGATTTGGGTCAATGTATGACCATTCAATGTGATGGGGTATTGCTAATTTCAGGTAGGATTGTTTATGGGATTTGTGTTATTTATTGTAACAATAATTTTATTACGAACGCAGGTGCGAGGTACATTTAAGGATCATGTGGTGGTTGAATTAAGAGCAATTTAGAAGGTTCTTCTTCTTGTAAAGGATAATCAATGGGCATCCATTCTAATCTTATTTGTTTTAATGTAAAGATTATTGTGTAGGCTCTCAATTCACATTCATGTGTTTTGGCTTGGAAACATAATTTTTAGATAGATCAAATTTTGTATGCCTAAAATGGATTTAGGCTCGATTTTGTATAAATATATTCTAAGGAATTGTAATATAGCTGCTCACACCCTAGCTCAGAAAGCTAAGTGTTTTGTGAGAGAGTGTATTTGGTGGGGCAGCCCTCTGGTTTGTAGTAAATAGTTTGTAAATTCCTTTTCTTAGTATAGTGTTATTTTATATATAAAAAAAATCAGTTGTATAAAATTGACTTAGAACTGAACCAATTATTTATCCAGATAATCAGATCTAATATGATTAATTAGGCCTACTGACATCTATAACTAGCAACGATAATAACAACTTAAAAACTAATTCACTTTTTGATAATATAACCTTATTAATATTGACAGTAAATAGAAAACCTTTTTATTAATCATATGATCAATTCAGAAATGGAATGGAAATTAAAATCTTTCAGAAACTGAATCGGAATGATCAATTTTTATAGTCTGTTCGGTTCAAACAGTAATGAGAATGAGAATTAGAATCAGCAGGAATAGGATTTCATTTCCAAGGGAGGGGTAGGGAATGGCCATTCCCTCAAATGAGAGAATGTCATTTCAAAAAGATGGGAATGGGATTCCGACTCTGCCCAGAAGCCAACCAAACAGTTGGAATCAGAATGGGCCATTCCAATTCCGATTCTAATTCTAGACCCCTATTTAATTTCGTTAACCAAGTAGAACCTTATTTCAATTCCCATTTTAATACAAATTTTGATTCCCATTCAATTCCAATTCAAAAATTGGACCCTAAAATTCTAGAACAGTAAGAAATGAGTATAAGGCAGCTGCAAGCAATGTCTTCAAAAACCGGATCAGATTGGACAGTTGGACCGGAAAATCAGGAACTGGTCAGGTGACCGGTTCCATTTTACCCTAAAATCGTTATTTGGCCAAAAATCATTGATTTAGTCACTGAATCACTGACCTGGGCAGTCAAACCATCGAACTGTTCGACCCAAAAATGGTTTTGACCATTTTTTGGATTTAAAAAAAAAATTAATTTTTTCTTTTTTTGTCAGAATGAATCATCCATTCAGACCAGATGGTTAGACCGTTAGACCCAGAAACTGGACCCAGAACGGTTCCCTATCCGGCCCGGTTTTAAAAACCTTGGCTGCTGCGAGACTAGAATGTCAAAACCAATATACACCAAGGAAAGAGCTTGGGGCATGTTGCATTGGGTCTCTTCGATAAGGATAACATAAAAGGGTGGAGATGGTCAGAGCGACAGACCGAGTCCGGATCTGCTACCCACAGGCTACTCTACAGGTGTGCATCGATCTCACGTACTATCCCATCATGACGACTCAAGCTGTCTCTTAATTAAAAGGATATTGATTATCAATTGTCACTACTCTCCTTTACCCCCACACTCATGCTTTAAAACATCTCAAGCTGCTTTCTCTCAAGTCCCAACAGCCAAACTCGAAATGGGGCACCAAAGAATGGATGGAGACAAAGTTCTCCAAAAGCGAACATGAATACGATACGAGTCATAGTTGAGCATTTACTTTTAGACCCTATCCACAATGAAGGAACTAGAATGAATTAATGGAGCCTCAAAATCAAGTCATTTACGCAGATCAACTAACCATTAAATAATGTTCGGTTGGTAAAGACTAAAGAACTGTGTTGGATCCTGCGTCTTAAAATTAAATTCCACCGGTTGAACTTACATTTTCATGGGTTGGTCAGTACTGAAAACGAGGAGCATGTGAGCCGCTATTATCTTGTTTTCTGGTGATGGAGACATATAACCACTGCTACTTAAATGGCTTCTACTTTATCCCAAAAAAGGTAATTTCATTAGTTTCTATGTCATGCACAATATATCTTTGAATGATCACTTAATTGGAACTTGGAAGATGCACATTGAAGTTAATTAAAACTTGACATCTTCTACCAAATAGTAGCAATGTAGATGGAATGGAACAATATACAATATATATAGGTCTGAAAATACCGGGTTTTCAAATTTCTATACATCATAATTAAGCTTGCCTAGACAATAGAAATTAAATCACACAATAAGATCTAAACAGGACCCAATAGACCTTTTGTTAAGCTATCACCAAGAGAGATAAAACAAGAAAAAGGAAACCTGGATTTGATTTGAACTTGGGCAGCTTTTCTTTTGTCTGATTAATTCCCTTGGTGAAGTTCAGCTCAATTTGCCTGATCCTGACTTGAACTTCTCTGGAAAACCTTCTGATAATTCTGTTTTAACATAACTGGCGCATGAAGTAGTGCATTTGAGCCTTGGTAATTCTCCTTTGTTCTGCCCAGAACATTTAATCTAACACAATTTGTTTTTTTTTTCCCTCTTGCAATACAGAAAACCCAGAAAGAATTGTCAAGCAATATAATAATGCTGTGAGTGCAAACTCAATTTTTGTTTCTATATTTGCATAAGTTCTTCAAAGACCTTCATGGCAGAAGCTGGCAAACCCAAAAGAACATTTATGCTTTTCCTCTCCTTCCCATGAGACAGGAACAAGATCACCTCCTTCTCAGGAAGAGAAACGGGCCCAGATAGAAGAGGTTCGCCCCACCCAAAATCTGTAATGTGGAAAGATAACCTAGACCAGGTAGTGATCAGAAGTGTTGCAGCCAGAGAAGGCCTAGCTCTTGTTACTTCAAAATAGTCTATGGCTGATCTCATGTACCCATCAGTAACCATCTTAACAGCCTTCTGAACTAGCTCAACCGTAAATGAAAGAGGGTTCTCTAGCAGCTGACCTGCACTGCATAGAGAATTTGTTAATACAATCCCGTTTCCAAAGTAGCCTTTTGGCAGTGGAGGATTGAATTTAGACCGTCCATCAACAGCAAAGAGGAGCTTTGTCTGTTGATCCGGTTGTAACCTTAGAGATTTAGTTCGAGCCCGCCACACAAATGCAGAGAGGACTTCAAATGTAGTACACTTCTCAAGAACCCCATCCTTCATAGCTTTCAACTTCAGTTGCTCAAGCTTATCAGGATCAAAACAGAACGACCTGTACAACATTTCTTCTTGGTAGAGCTCTGCAGTGTTGGATACATCATTTATCTCTGAGAATTCGTCGTGGGAGAATGCCATCTTTGGTGGACATCGGGCTTTCAGTATGCTTCTGTCTAGAACTGGTGGAACTGTTAGCGGCAGCCCTCTGGCAGTTTCACCCCATGAATTCACAAACTCCATAGCACCGAGTCCGTCAAACATACAGTGGTTCATGCATAGACCAAGAACAAATCCTCCACACTTGAACTTTGTTACCTGGAAGACAAAGATAGAACTCTAATTAAGGCCCTTCCAGCTTTGCAGTGTAAGAAAAGGAAATCGTTCTTTTTCTTTATTTTTAATTTAATTAAAATGCATGGCTTATCAGGGAACAGAGAACTTCAAAAGAAGGGTGCGTGAATAGTATTTGCAGTTTGTATATGAAGGTTTAGGCTTTTTAACTCACGTAAACTGATTTTAGGATAAAAACGTGGCCAGAAATCCAGAATTTGACAAAGGTTCACTTCTGAAGAAATGGGGAGAGATACTCGGATACTACATAACCTTAAAATCAATTTCTGAAGAGATTACTTAAAAACAGAGAAGGGAAAGATTATATAACGTGAATAAGAATATATTGTCCTTTTTCTTTTAACCAGAATCGTTCAACTTGGCTAATTTTGCAAACTACAGAACACAGCTAAAAATGCATCCAAAAGAAAAAGAAAAACTGTGTGAAAATTCTAGTGCACAAAGCATACCGACCTGAGCCACCAGAGGAGGCATCTCTAGTATGTTCTTTGCTCCAGGGATGTCATAAACCAGCTTACCAAGGGTCACTGGATCAGGTTTTGTGATGTCTCCAATTTCTCCCAGTGTACAATTTGCCTCAGCCTCAACTAAAACAGCACCATCCCCTGTGCAATCCACAATAAGCTTTCCCTCTGAGCTGAACGTGAGCCTTCCAGCAAGTGGATAGTAATGAACAAGAACCTTTGCCAAGGCTTCCCTGATGATCTCTCCAGCTTGCTTATTTCCCTTCCCATCTGACTTGAAACAGTAAACGGTTCGAACAATCACTGCAATGTTCTGGTCTAGATTTGAAAGGAAGTACAGTCCCCTCTTTGTCTCCTCCGCAGGAGGAACAAGGGTTGGTTCTCCTTGCTTGACACTAAGTTCAATGGCAATTCCGTTGGAGTTCACCATTGCAACAGACTCGCCTAGCTTCACAACTTAAACCTGGAAGCACAGCAAAGCATCCATATAGAGAGAAAGCAAAAGCAGAGGAAAGAAAGTTAATGTATATTTACTGCATTCAAATGCAAAGTTCTTATCTATTACAAAGCAAACAAGATTTACAGCACCGAAAAGAGGGTTGTCACAAAAATACCTGTAGAGAGTGCACTGAATCCTGTAATATCAATTGCAGTCTTGCAGAGGCAGAAATGGGTATGGTATGTTCTTCATGGAAGGTCCGAGTGGAGCTTTATATAGAAAGAGCAGGGACAGAACTTGGTCAAATGGTTTTAACTTTTTTTCCATGAAAATGAAAACAAACAAGTGTTGACAGATGATAAGTTAGGGTGCAGAGAGAGAGAGAGGGGCGGTTCCCCTTTGTCTGGGGCAGTGGAGTTGTTTCGTCCGAACATTTTGCTTACGTCGTATGGGTGGGGGGTTGGCTACTGACCATGGAACCAAACATCAACAGTCAGGGAGAGAGTGGGGGTTTGGTTGGTGGGGTTGGCATCCGAATTTTGTTTAATTGTTCTTTTGGGTATCTCAACTATCAAATTAGGAATATTTGCTTCTCTAGTCGTCTTATTCTTATATAAATCGACGACATTAAAATATTTATACGCCGTATTCAAGATATCGCTTTGTTATGATGCTGCCACCCTTTATCCCCTCGGCCGGTAGGCCCACCTGGTGGTCCAATAAGCAGGCGACCTCTCTTGTCTCTCGACTCGTCTTGATCACACACTGGTTGATTGGTTGGTTGGTAAGAATCCCTACTGATTGTAATGGAAGCTTGGGATCAAATGCCGCTGCACCAAGGTTGGAGGATGAATTACCCTTTGTGCAGCCCCATGGAGCAAAAGAAAAATTAGAAGACTTACTTTGAATACATGATTATTCTTGGGAAATAGGGTCATTGTAATTTTGGAGGAGAAGCTCTAAGTCGCATTTGAAGACACTGTATTTAAAACATTATTTGCCCCCATTCAGTTTTACTGAGTTTGTTGTTTGGATAGGTAAATCCATTTACAAAATACAACAGAGCCTTGGGCGAAAATCTGCAACTAGCAAAGTTGAAGAAATCTTATGTGAGACTGTATCAGACCGGACTGTGAGAGAGAGAGAGTGGATTTCGAATATGTGTATTTTTGAAGTCTTATTCATGCTCCTTAAATAGTTTATGAAGATGTATGAAATTGTGACTATTTAAAAAGTATTAATTGTTAACTTTGAATCGTGACCATTGATCTCATCAACAAACAGCATCGCACCAAAATCAAAGCCGCCCTTCGTGAGTCAAACGGGTGCGAGCAAAGTGTGCCTCTAAAGCACCGCACACAACGTACACGCGCGTGTTGCATGGTATCAAACTTCTATACTCTCCTCTACTATTTCTAAAGAGTGCAAAACAACTTCTATTAAAATATTGAAAACAAAATTTATAATTTTTCAATGTGGGACAAATTCAAAACTGAATTTTATAAGAAAAAAACTAATCTTCCAAACAAGTGTACAGGTACAATTTCTCATATAATTGACCAATTAAATCCATTAAATTTAATCTCTTATGAGATTAAAATCCAACACTGGTTAGTTGGTTGATTGGTAAGAATCCCTGTGATTGTAATGGAGGCTTGGGATCAAATGCCGCTGCACCAGGGTTGGAGGATGAATTACCCTTTGTGCAGCCCCATGGAGCAAAAGAAAAACTAGAAGACTTACCTTGATTACATGAATACACCCATAAGCGAGCCAGAGGTGTACTGTGTGAACACAACAAATTATATACACTCTCCCTCTCTGCTCAAGATGATGACGCCTGGCTATTATTAGCATAACATCACATGGTGGCTGAATTAGTCGGATTTTGGTTGTTTGATTCAAGTGAGGGTGCGCAAAGATGGGAATGGATCGGATCCAGTTGTATTGTTTCACGTTTCTTATATATTTCATGGCAATGTTTTAAAAACCAATTCAAACCAGAATCACTTAGACCACCGTTAATTCGACCATTCAGTTTGAATGAATAATATGTTGTAATTTAAAATTTTTTTWAAAAAAATACAATTAAAATTAAAAGGTCAAAACTCATTGTCTGGGTAGAATGGGTCTACAGTTCGAATGCCCAGGTCAACAGGCAAAATAGAATCAATTACCTAAGTCAACCCTCCGATTTGACAAAAGATTAGGTCAGGGTGAAATGAATCAGTTGCCTGGACAATTTTCAGGCCAAACGGTGTGACCATATGGATCAACAATAATTCGAAAACCATGCTTCAGGGTCTCCTTAGATAACAGGTTTGGATTACTTAACCCTGAACTGGGAAAGAAGTTAAGACCCCAATCCATCCCAAGTTTTGAAATATATAATAAAAAAAAAGTAAAAACACTGGATGTGTTTTCTGCATGTCCATCTTCCGTTTAAAAAGTAGGCATTTGGCATCTGAGCATTTCACAAGCCATTTCTGCCGATGTCATACATGCCACATTTGCAATTAAACAGAATTGATAAAAAAAACGGCAAATAATAGCCTTATTTCCAAAAAAAAAAACATTTTTACAATAATTAGCTTTAGGATTCGGGAAAATAGGGGTTTCTTGAAAGTTATTATTATTTTTTTTTAATCTCCTAGGCGAGCCTAAATCATACTAGTGATATGATACATTGAATTTTGAAATGGACCGACCCATCACCAATGGTCCAATATTACGGATTGGAGCAGCAACTTTTTTTTGGAGTTTACTGTTCAGTCCACCGTAGAGTTTGGGGAAGGTGCTAGCTTGGAAGTGATGTCAATTCACGGACGAGTATGGGTGTTATAGGTATAAGTGTTTATAATTTTGAATTATTGTAAATCTGCAGTTTAATTCAGAATATGTGGAGTGCAGTCCTTATCTCCCCTTTTTTTCCTTGTTCTCAGTGGTGGTACCTGGTCATGTTACGTGTACAGGGGAGCTGATCAAATGTTTCCAATGGTGTTTGGAAGCGTGGGTGTTTATTGAGACCGATTTTCAAGAAAAAATGGTCATGCTTTCAAGACCCGTTTTTCACACCAAAAAAAAAAATGCTTTAGTGTTCCAGCCACATACGCAGTGAGCAATAACACTATGTTGTTTGGTAAGGTGATTTTCATCACTGTTTTTCATGTATGTGCTAACAGGTAAACATCACATAGGATACACATAATCACCAATCAGTCAACCGTTGGGAGAAACGATTCACTGATCCATGAAACGCCAAATTTGACGTTTCGTGCATCGGTGGGGTCCCAATTTTCAAGGCATGCCCGATTTTTTAATAATCGGCTGAACCAAACAATGAGATACATGGGCATTTGTTGAAACGTCTAAGTGGATGCAACATAGCACTGTTTTTTTTTTTTTTTTTTTTTTTGAAAAACGGCCACGGTTCCAAACATCCCCTTCATCTAATATTCATGACCTGCCCATGTGCCACACATGCCTGGATAATGGATACCATTCCCCGTACAGGCATGATAAAACTTACAATGCAATGTTCTAAAAATCAACTCGGAACTGGAATCGCTTTGACCATTAGATTTTGGATCAGCAATTTGATCATCTGGTTTAAAATGGCTGGCCTGTTGCAATTTAAAAAATAATAACAAAAATGATCAAAAACCGTAGTTTGGATCAAACGTGTCAACAATCAATTGCTTGGGTCAATGGATCACTATCAAGTGGGAGGGTAATTCAAAATTTCAGGAATCTATTTTCTTCTTTTTTGTTTTAGTTGTCTTTTATCTCTTTCTCTCATCTTGCATGTAAGAAAAAGACTCTTATTCCTCCTTGATCGGGAAAAGGGTTAGATTGGAGTATATTAATAGGATTGTTCTCCTTACAGATAGGGACCCATAGAAGGAAAGTAATACATATCTTTATATGCATGTGAGGGGGTTAGGGGTGCTTTTCACAGGTACAATTTGTGAACTGAGCATATGGACTGTTTTATCTTGGGAACTGATTTGTTGCAAAATAACAGGGATAAACTTTGAGATAAATCATTAAACTCCTGTCCTATAAATACTATTTTTATGAAGCAGAAAAAACGGAGGAGAAATACTTGACGGAGAGTCAGCCCATTCACACCTCCAAAGCACTACACGATAATAATTAGCTAACACATAAGACTCAGTTTGGAAGCAGTGCAAATACAAATTTATAGAATACAAAACCTTATATTTTATATTATTTTATATGCACTTGTACTGTATATATTTACATTTGTATTCCTTCCAAACTGAGCCTAAAAAAACAAGATAGTAAGAACAGACTAATGTGTCGAAACTTATTCAAAGAGCAAAAGCTACATGCCATTTAGCACGCATCAACAAAAAATTAAAATTGCTGAAGATTGCTAGGGAAATGAAATTGTAGGGCTGCGCTTCATATCAATCACAGTCTAACAATCACCCACAAAGACAATCCGCTGAGATGTAGATTTAGCAGCAGCACTACTGACAGAAGAGCCAATTTAGGGGCATCTCAGCTTCAGCTTCAACTGCTTCGGCATCCAGACCAAGGCAAAGCACCACCATGGCACCGAGGAATCCATCCTGATCATCCTCATCCAAAGCAACACAAGCAGTACGCCCAACTCAATTTTTAAATACTCCATCAAATGTTACTTTAGCATCTCCATCCAATCTCCGGTCCAACGAACCTGCCCTACAAATACATTAACAATATCAAATTAATTAAAATAATTAGAAATGAGGCGGCGTTGGGAAACGGTGCAATTAAGTGTGAATGAAAATATGTAGAGTGTAAAATGGTTAGTATAAATAGCAAAGTTAGGTTAGTTTTGCACTAATAAATTAATCTTCTTATTAAACAGACTTTTAGTTGTAATGGATGTAAACATGAATTTCAATAAAGCATATGATTCTTTTTTTATCAAAAGCCCACTTGAATGTAAATTTACTTCTTTTTTATTGATGTAATTTTACATCTTAAGCTGCGTTTGGAAATTATGCAAATACGTAGAGTACAAAACGTTTCATATAAATTGCAAAACTGGGTTAGTTTTGCACTAACAAATTTACCTTCTTACCAAACAAACTTTTAACCGTAATCAATGCAAACATAAATTCCAATAAAGCATATGCTTTTTTTTTATCAAAAGACCACTTGAATGTAAACTTACTTCTTTTCTATTGATGTACTTTTACATCTTATTATCAATGTAAATATGCATTGGTCAGTCATTTGTCAATGCATAAATGTG